AAAATTCAAAAATGAACCGCAAGGAGGAGTGTCTTGTCATCACGCGTGACCTAGCGCCATACCTCAGGCTGATCCAATGATCTGACATGGACCCAGTTATCGACCATGTATTACTCTGTGCGGCGGCTATCCACCAACTAACTTAAATACTTACGACAAATAAACGGTAGGTGTTTGAATGAAGCTGTTTCTTATGCGAACACAAATCGATTTATCAAGTTTTATCTGCTGGGGTTATGAAAGTGTTTGGCTGAGTAGATCGCATCTCAATTTGACCTTTCCAGGCTCTGAAGAAGGCGAAACCGCCGAAACGTCAGCAATTGTGTTCTAATAAATTCTATATTAACAACCTAATTGCAAGTAATTTTACGAAAATGACTTCAAATTACCTTTTTGACAAAACACTGAATATATTAACATATCAGGATAAACAGAAATTGGGTGAAGAAATATAGTCTTTAAGACACTTACCTAGCCTCGTATCGACGAGATTAGCGTCCACACAGACGAGATCAAGCTCACTTTGACCGTCAATGAAAACGTCGAGACTGATGCGAGCAGTGAGAAGGTGAACACTAGCAAACGGTGTGAATGCTTTACCAAATAAATTAGACCGAGTAGACTTCGAATCCATAGTCGGCACCTGAAGATAGAAACACATTTGATACAAATACAAACCAATAACATAGAGTCGAAGATGATGCTTGCAGAAGAACAAAAAAGAAGGTTCACATACTGGATTTAACATCAACTGCTTTACGCCTCTGTTTCTGCTGTCACAATCATTACTGAGAACGTAGTTGACAAATGCATTTACGTTAAACGCACTGCAGATATGATCAACAATTTCGCGCTACATACTATGGTACAACCCATGAATACCAAACTTTCTTCAGCAACAATAAGATCGCTACTACGTCTAATTTTTAAGAGCACGCGGCGCTCATTGAAGTCCACGCATGCAGTCCGCCGTGCTCAAAAACTGACTACATCTCTTCTCAGGTTTCTGCTCATTTTCCCATTTTTTCCTCATTTCTGAGTCCTATGTCCTACTGCACTACTCTTCATCGTTACTGGTCATTCGCTTAGTGACACGCCTATATACTGTTTTTTTCACCAGTGTCTCTTCCTTGATATTTGATCCTTCCTTCCTTTATTTAGAAAAATAGAATTGCACTGCTGCACTCTTCATTCACATGCGCTACAGAAACCTCGGCCGTATGATATGCGCACTCATTTCTATATATGTATGCATAAAAAATTCCTAAGCAAATGTTCAATGTTAATCCAATTACGTCACTGTTGATGTAATATTTGTAGGCTTGGTTGTGTTGAATGTTGTTCAGCATTATGTATTAAAGTGTGGCATCAGTGAAAGACGGCCGTGGCAGGTTGGAAAATACAAACACTCACCGCGCACTGTTCGTGTACTCAGCAAACTACGCTTCGTTTGTGTCCAATTATTCCTTTTATGTTTTTTCAGCATTTCTAACCGTTGTATACACCTCTTCAACCACCCTTCTGTTACCACTTGGTGGTCGGCTTCAAAAGGTAAACTAAATATAATTCGCCATTTGTAATATCCACATTTAATATCCATATTAAGATATGTTGAAACATCTCAAAAACCTCTTAACCAGAAATTACCTTGGCACCAGGTGGACCATACAACACGGAGTTTTTGCAAAATACTATGTGTAACATCATTTCTCATCATTTCTCGGAGCGGTCCCAACACACCATCTGCGCAGTGTAGATCACCGATGGAGTGCAAAAGCATAGCAAAGAACTCTCCAGCAAAATAAAGAACTCCGAGGAAAATGCACTGACATAACCTTAGGAAACGAAACCTGGCTCCTACGTGTGCATGTCAATCCATATGGTTGCGAATATGTTGGAGGAAGATTTTGGTCTTCAAAACAATCGGTCTTCACCTTTATCCTGCACCATTAACAACGTCACAAATCATTGAAAGTGATAAACGCTCGCTTTGCTAGCTCCATAGCGACATCACAACATGCAGACATTACAGAGAAGATATAAAGCAAAAAGACAAAATTTTCGGCGTTTACCAATCCCTGACGGAGATGCCATGCTTTCGTCTTCATTAAGCATCGTTGGAGGTGATTGAATGCATATCTGACCTTTACAATGACACGCGGTGGCCTACCACGTACCGAGCCAGTGCTGCTATCCTCAAGATAGGTGTGATACTAATTTGCCGACCCCAGGGAGATGGAAGGTTCAGTGAGTCTTGGGCGTGGGGATCAATCCCACAGCGTGTTGCAGGATGCCTCCGACCACTGCGCTACACGAACCCAGAAAGCATATGTTGTCGTAAAATAATCTCTACATTACACTGACCATATATACCTGTCCTTGTTACTACTTTTATGAAAATTATTATATCTCAAGTTACTTTACAGAAGGTCCACGTGCCTACGATACACTGATACTTCCCAAACACACTTCTTTATGACCAGGCACAGCAGCACCGCCTAGTGGCTCGACCCTGCGATCTTGGCCATTCGATTAGATGCCATTCACGCACCAAAGCAGTGCCATTAGCCTTCATACGACGCGTTAAGATTGTCATCGCCCTTCCTCATTATTTGTTACCCTGCTTGATCCTCCTTGCTCAGAACTCCTTCAATTTGCTTAGGCGAAAAAGTGCCAACTACACTCTCAAGCTCTTGAATTATCGACGCATGAAAGCTACCGCCAACTCTCACGTAGTCACTAAGCGTTGATAATCTAGCAAATTTTTCAAATACTTTCACTCTCTACAGCTACTGTACGAAAGTCACTGTTGGAACAACAATCCTTTTGCGTACAATTCCACGGTATGCAAATCCATCTAAGATGTATTTGTGTGGTTCGTGAATTATTCTGTTTAATACTTTGTCACTCCCCAGACTATTCTTCGCTGTTGCTACCGCAATTCCTTCATAGCTATGACACTAATTCATAGTGATCATTTAAGTACTTACACTGTTGTAATTAGACTAATATTGTTACATAAACGGTATTTTTAATTGCATTTTATACCTTCAGAAACCTGCTGCATAACGCTCAATATTATTGCTAGTGCAATTTCTTACGTTTACCACTACTTCCTACAAAATCAATCTACTTTGTAATTTGCGGTATATAGATATATAACATCACTGCTTCATTTTCACGCAAATATTACGCATATAAGCAGTTTAACTACCCAAGTTTGAGATTTTGGCGCATCGCTAGGCAACTAGAAGACCCGCGTGGCAAAGTCATCAAGCAACAACGAAACCTTCACAATAGAGATACGATTTAGTGACTCTAAGAATGTTGCATCGTAGGCACTATGCTCAATAACATGAGTATAATATTGTTTGCAGAACTGCTGCATTAGATGCGAACTAATTTTAACTCAGTCCGAATACCATACTTTCCCTTCTAATTCCGGAAAACTAAGGGGTAGAAAAGTCGTCTTTATATCATTAAATCTGCTTACATGGCAGTCAACCTCCACATTGTCAAACAGTAGTCGAAACGAGAGCGTGGCATACTTGTTATCACAGCCTATTTCCTAAAAAGTTTTGTGGTTTCCAATAAATGATTTGCAATCAAACATGTAACAGCTGGATTTCATAAGAGCAAGGAATTTAACACAAACACCCAAGGACGCTGTGTGGTGGTGAACGTGTTAGCGACCGGAAAGGCTAATAGCGAATTCGATCCACACCGCAGACACCTGCGGTCTGGGGTTTCGCAAATATCTAAGCACCATTGTGAGTATAATTCATATCATACGCTGCCACAAAACGAATAGGCAGTAAGCACAAATGTCAGTACATTGTGATTTATTCTACAGCTTCAGATTAACTAGGTTCAATGCCGATTTGTGCTCCGCAAATCAATATCGTTGACGGATAATTGATGATAGCACCTATAAAACACGGCTGAGAGAAAACCGAAACGAAGGAGCTGCATGGTGAAGTGGAGAAGGCGTTATCTCCCAGAAAGGGTAATAGTGAGTTCGATTCCCTCTCCCCCAGACACCTGGAGTCCGGAGCTTCGCAAATCTCAGCACCACTGTAGGTATACTTCATATTCATATACTCTGTCATAAAAAGAATAGTCAGTAAATAAAAATATGAGTGTCGACTTTTTATTTTATTTTTACTTATTTTATACGACCAGTTCTCATATCTACTGTACGGATCACAACACTCGTTGCATTCGATTAGTTCTCTAGCATCCACCATCTAGGTACGACTTCGCTTTTTTCGCGTGTCGGTTCGGGTGCTGCTTGAGGATTTTCCCTTCGTCATGAATGTCGTTGAATGCTGCTCGAGTCAATTCTTCATGAAGCTCTGAGATGGCCGGACTAAAGCGTTCCCATTTGAACTGTATGTAGTGAGCTATTACCAAACATGTACGATACCAATTTAGCGACCACAGTGATGAGAAGCTTGGTGAGCCCGGGCCGGTATCGTATTATCATCGTGTTCGTGATGAACGGCAAAACTACCACTACGTTATCCGTCTCCTACTTGAACAGTGATCAAGTTCAAATTAAAAAAGCAACAATTTAAAAAACTATTCTCACCATTTGACCGATAGAAGAGAGTTTCTACCAGGGTTTCTGACCATTCAGGTAGTTCAAAAATTCTCAACAGCCATGGAAATCTGGCTAGGACGCGGAACGCGTTAACAACTTAGCGTCAGCTCAGCAGTAACACGACAGTGTGAAAAATTAAACACACTCAATGAACGATAAACTAAACATACACAACCAACTGTCGGTTTCTGCAGAACCTCAATGGGAATCGTCTCCGGCACCGGTATCAGCACATCACCAAAGTTTTTCTCTATCACACCACGTAACAAAGTGTAGAAGTCGGACGTCATGCACCATTTAAGATTACTTATGCTAATTACGACAGAGAGGTCAGGAACTGAAAATATTAGTAAGAGAACGTATACATAATCTACGAAATACTGATCGCTGTAGCAAAATAAATACCATTATGTGAATGAATTCCGTCAAGATTACGAAGAATATCGATAGAAAAGTCAAATCGGCGACTGAATACCGATTCTAGTGAGGTCATTATCTCGAAGGAATCAAATGCTTCGCGGCCAATAATGCGCACCATCTAAACCCTACATGATTACCATATGATTTCTCTAGGTTCTAAAAAATTCCTAAGCAAAGTACATAACTAAACTAGAACCAAACAACCAAAAAATGTTCGACGTCACTTAACTTGTCACTCTTTCTGTGTGGCACTGTCAACCTTCTTCCTTCGAAAATACGTAAATCCAACAACAAAATTTTCAGCCAATCCACAAGACAATCGACAGACGCATCTAAAAATTAGCTTGAACTAGACTATTTGTTTACAACAAAAATAGTTCATTTCAATCTCCAAGTATTAAGAGGAAGGTTATCAGCTAATTCCACAGCTCACTACCATCCAGACCAAGTTATAACGGAATTTTAAAAAATTAATACGTAGTAGAAACATGGGCCTTGCATTGATGCTTAACCATTCGTTGTGCAATACATCTTATAAAAATTTCCTACAATTTTATGCCTGCTAAAGTGATGCTCTCAGGGAATGAAAATTATGTCATTTTACCTTTGAGTTCGCACTTAAGCATTCTCCCATAAGAATTAGTCGAAATATAAGAAATTATAGAGACAGGAAACCGCTTCTGAACCGATAATGCGCATTTGGTTCAACAAGTTTCTCATCCAAGGTCCACGCGTTAATGAGGAAAAGGTGGCGGGTGTCTATACGCAGACAATACAAAGCGGTGGGCAAAACGGAATATTTAAAATTGAATTGTCGCAGAAGAGCTCACTGTAGCGAAATAACGTTCGTTCGTCTTTTAGGAAACAAAGGGGAACCTGTGCGACAATAGAACATGAACACCGCGGTTGGACAAAGTTCATAATTGCCACCCAACGCCGAAGTGTACCCAATGAAGGTAAAGGTGAAGTTGGTGGTGAATGGTGAAGTTTTAATAGCCTGAACCCAGACTAATCCATATTAACTTTCTGAGTTCTTGAGAAATGATCACAACTCAAAAGCAATTCGTCAATTCCAGGAATTCCGAATTTAAAGCTACCGAGACAGATAAAAGTGGACTTTGTTGGCAAAAATATGTATAATTCAATGCGTCCTTTTCTGAGTTGTGTTTGTGCCACGTCATAGTATATCAAATTTGTCTCTTGAAATTCCTCATTATGTTCCTATCAACCTACTAACTGTAGCAGTAGAATGTGTCGTTTTCTTGTTCAGCAATCGCGAGGTTTTTAAACAGCATACATTTACTTCCATAAAAACACAATACAATACAACGCTAGCTGACGTTTCGGCAGTATCGCCTTCTTCAGAGTCTGGAAGGGTATACTGATATACAATCTACTAGGCCAAACGCTTCAATAACACTTACAAGAAGACGAAGAACTCTCCGGCAATTACATAATCAACAA